AAATGGCCTGATTGCCTAAAGCTTTTCTCACACTGGTCACAGGTGAAAGGTTTTTTTCCAGTGTGGGTATGTTTGTGAATCTTCAAATTGCCTGAAGTCAAGAAACTCTTCTCACACTGGTCACAGGTGAAAGGCTTTTCTCCAGTGTGGATTATCTGGTGGTGCTTTAATGAGCGTGAGTCCTTGAAACTTTTCTCACACTGGTCACAGGAGTAGGGTTTTTCTCCCGTGTGGATTCTCTGGTGAATCTTCAAATAGCCTGACCGGCTAAAGCTCTTCAAAACAAGCGGTCAACAGGTGAAAGGATTTTCTCCAGTGTGGGTTCGCTTGTGAATCTTCAAATGGCCTGACTGCCTAAAGCTTTTCTCACACTGGTCACAGAGTAGGGTTTTTTCCTCCAGTGTGGATTCTCTGGTGAATCTTCAAATAGCCTGACCCGCTAAAGCTCTTCTCACATTGGTCACAGGTGAAAGGTTTTTCTCCAGTGTGGGTTCGCTGGTGAATCTTCAAATAGCCTGACCCGCTAAAGCTCTTCTCACATTGGTCACAGGTGAAAGGTTTTTCTCCAGTGTGGGTTCGCTGGTGGACCTTAAAATGGCTTGAGTGGCTAAAGCTCTTATCACACTGGTCGCAGGAGTAGGGTTTTTCTCCAGTGTGGGTTCGCAGGTGAACCTTCAAATCGGCTGACTGGATAAAGCTCTTCTCACACTGGTCACAGGTGAAAGGTTTTTCTCCAGTGTGGGTTCGCTGGTGGACCTTCAAAGTCCCTGAACTCCAGAAACTCTTCTCACACTGGTCACAGGTGAAAGGTTTTTCTCCTGTGTGGGTTTGCTGGTGGACCTTAAAATTGCTTGAGATACTAAAGCTCTTCTCACACTGGTCACAGGTGAAAGGTTTTTCTCCAGTGTGGATTATCTGGTGGACCTTCAATGAGTATGACTGGCTAAAGCTCTTCTCACACTGGTCACAGGTGAAAGGTTTTTCTCCAGTGTGGGTACGTTTGTGGATCTTCAAATTCCCTGAACTCCAGAAACTCTTCTCACACTGGTCACAGGTGAAAGGTTTTTCTCCAGTGTGGATTCTCTGGTGGACCTTCAATGAGTCTGAATGGCTAAATCTCTTCTCACACTGGTCACAGGTGAAAGGTTTTTCTCCAGTGTGGGTACGGTTTGTGGATCTTCAAATTCCTGAACCCCAGAAACTCTTCTCACACTGGTCACAGGTGTGTGGTTTTCCTATCATGGCTGTAAACTGATGTTGATCCAGCTGTTCTCCGATGATACTCTTCTCCCCCTCATCATAAAGTCTATCTGGGTTTTTGCAGGTCTCTTCCTATAAAACAAAACAACAAATCAACAGAGAGTAATATTAGAGCAGGGGTTCCCAAACTTTGCTATGCCAAGGACCCCCATATAGCATTATCCTCTGGCGGGGACCCCCTTGTTGCCATTTTTTTGAATTACTTTATGATGGAAAATATGACAAATTAATCATACATCTTAATACATTTTCTTAATATATATTTGTATTAATAATTAGTTATTCTTCTAAACATTTTTTGTATTTATCTTTTGTTTGTCATTCCTTACATTCATTGTGTCTTCTGTTATACACATTCTTAACACAATATTAAATAGTAATATCAACAGTAAACATATTTTTTAAAGCATTTTTAAAGTGATCTCTTTCTTTATAATATTATATAATTTTGAACAGTAACATGAACAATTAACATATATTTGTTAGCATTTTTTAAAGCTATTTATACCTTTTTAATATTATATATAATATTCAACAGTAATATTAACAATTTAAAAACTGCGGTCGCAACATGTGCGCGCAGTGATGAGCGGGCCCTCGCGTCCGTAGCGCCTGTCGGGGAGGGCAGCTGGTCGTCCCGGCGTCAAGCAGACGCGCGAGTCCTCGGAAATGAGCCGTTTGTCATTTCTCAAATTTTTTGCGTCCCAGACTCCCAGGTCCTCCGGCAGCGACCCGGAAACGGATGTCGGCGCGCCGTCTCGAAGGAAAACAAATTTCTCTAAAGGCTCGTTGAGGACGATTTTCGAGGAGGCTGTCTGGAGGTGCTGTAACCGAGGATACACTGATTTAGAGGAGAGAGGAGTCCTCTCTGGAGGAGCTATAACCGAGGGTACACTGATGTATTCTCCGGAGACTATTTCAGCCAACAGTGATAATATATGTAACAGGCCTACATTTCAAACTTTATTTGTAGGCTTTAGGAGATATCTACAAATAAACAGTAGATATTTGTCATGAAACCATATAGAGCTTCACATAATAAAATATACAAGGGCAGTGCCTGATATTTAGTATATGCTTTAGGAGCTGTTTGTGTTTGTTGTACAAGGTGTAGGTGTGGTTTTGTGTGTGTGTGAGAGTTGATGTGGCAGGCAGACAGGCAGGTGTCAGTAGGTTATCTGACATATAAATGGTAAAAAAATGGTACATTCTCCGTTAGCCTACGAGCTCCCCGTTGAGCGAAGGACTGTTTCCTTCTCAATGTAGCATGACATTGGATATGCGCTTAACTTGTCCTGGATTGGAATTTTTACGAACATTTCCCTAGGGAGGAGTTTGCAAAATGTACTTAAAATGAATGAAAAACATTTTTCAAAATGGCCGAGTTTTTGGGGGGGGGCGGGGCTATGGAAGGCAATTTGAAATATGTCCGCAATCATAAGAGCAATTTGTATACAGTGTTCGTGATATCGGAATAACTATATCCGAGTAGTTTGGAGTAATTTGCGACATGTAAATCGTCAAAAATGGTGTATTCGCTGTTCGCTTACGACCTCCACGATTGAGCTATCAAAAATGTTCTTCTCAATTTAGCATCATATTGGATAGGGGCTGAACGTGGTGTCCTGGATTGGAATTTTTCCGATCATTCCCCTAGGAGGAGTTTGCAAGAATGTGCTTAAAATGCATGAAAAAATCGCACATTTTTCTTCGGTTCAAGGAGATTATATGTAGAGCAGGTCCCACCTGAATAAGTGTGCAACATTTCAGGTCATTCGGAGTTACGGTGCGACTTTGTACAATCTTTCCCAAAAATGGAAATGGCCATAGGTGGCGCTAGAGAGCATGCTGGACAATTTGAACAATTGAGTCCAGAATATTGTAGTTTTCACCGATTCTGGAATCCGTGCAGAATTATACAAACTTTTGAAGCATCCTAAAGACTTCAAAAACAGGAGACGCCAGCAGAAAAATAAGAATATCCCTCCATAACATAGGTTCCTTGTAACTTCGTGCTAGGACGCCGTTGGGGTCCTAGCGCTCCGTGCTCTGGCCCTAATAAAACTATTTATATTCATATATATATATAAACAACAGTCCTTGTCATTTCACTATGGTGTCTCTTTGTGTATACCTGTTCCCTCACTAGTGGGAGGGTGGCTTGGTGGCTCCTACACAAGTTTATCAATCCTAGGTTTTAGGTTTGTCATTGTCCACTTGCAAACGTCCCTCTGCGCTTTGTTTTTCAATACCCTTCAATGTAGAAAAGCCAGACTCGCTGAGGTATGTGGTGGCAAATGGAAGAAAGGATTTGAGAGCCCTTTCAGCCAGAGCGGATAGCCTTTTTTGACATACAGCCAAGTACTGAGGGAGTGAAACAGTATGCAAGTTTTCCAGAAGCCATGAGGCATCTGAAAAAACGGCAGCCAGTTGATGATTTTCAGAAGAGAGGATTCAATTGATCTCCCTTCGCAGTTCAAAAACACAATTCAGCCACCGGCCCCACGGGAAAGTTCCAGCGCACGTTGGAGTGGAGCAGTAAACCCCTCAAACTTTGCGCCCATTCTCGTTACACAAAATACGCTTAGCAACAAGTTCCATCGCGATGGAGCATGCAGTGCGTTGCCACTAACAATTGGGAGGCCTTACCACCATGATCAAGCTGTCACACTCCGCTTTTTTTGCCCGTCATAGCCCCACTGCCCCATCTGAACACCACACCCACACAACGAAGACCAGTCAAGTCCATTTGAGATAATGTACTCATCTAAAACTTGAAAATGTTCTCTTCCAGTGCTTTGCAAATAATATTTCCTCAACAAAGTTGTCTTCTGATATAAATCTGATATATGCAAGCAATTCTGCGACAATTTGCTACATCCGTGCTCTCATCCAGCTGCAGAGCGAATATTTTACTTGGCTCCAAAAGATGAGCAGATACTCAGTTTCACTATCAATAGCAGCAAGCTTGATTCTGATTGGCTTGAAGGGCAGTCGTGTGATTCAAAAAAACAAAAACTATTAAAAATATTGGCATCAAAGGACACATAGATTGATAGATATGCAGTTATTAATTAACATCTAAAAAAAAAAAAAAAAAATGTTACTTAAAAAAAAAAAAAAATCCCCCTTTCCCCTCAAACTTTGCGTGACCCCCCCTGGCGGCCCCACGGGGGGTCGGGGCCCCCACTTTGAAAAAAACACTGTATTAGAGGACACATGAAGTCTTATGCAAGTTAAAAAATTGAACGTGACAAAAGTAAAGTAAGGTTTTTAATGAAACCCCGAGAATGCATTCTGACTCGTTGTAACCTAAAATACCCGCTGAATAAAGGCAGAAGTATAAATACCTATTAACTTGATACAACTTCTGCACAAAGACGCACTGATTGGTTGATTGATTCAGACTGATTTGTTGTTATTTTTAAATGAATACAAAGGGTTGGCTCTCACAGGACAAAATGTTTTTAAATATTATTCAAAACACTGGCAAAATCTAAATGTGTTTCACAACCAATATCATGATGGAATATTACATACTTTATCTGTTATAAGGTTAGAGTTCTGTATAGCTAAATACAAAAAACTAAAAGGGTTGAAGCACACAAACTCATTTCATTGTTTTAATAAAATTAGTTTTAGTATCCAGGTATCACTAGCTATTCAAATATCTACAACCATGAATTTGAAAATAATGAACATTAAATGAATCACATTAATATCAGTAAATTCAGAGGTAGGAAGTACATTTACTCAGGTACTGTTACTTAGTACAATTTTGGAGGTAATTGTACTTTACCTTGTGTATTTCCATGTTATGCTAACTGTGTACTTCTACTCCTCTACAGTTCAGAGGTAAATGGTGATACTTTTCCTCCACTACATGTATTTAATACCTTTAGGTTACTTCACAGATCTGGATGAATGATGTGAAATCTAATCAAGTGTTAAATCAGACTTTAGTTTCCACCTGGAGTAAATCCACCAGCTACCCTGCAGTATACAAAGCCATTCAAACTAGCATTGCACCTTAACCAGCTTGAGAACACTTATCATGATCAATCATTATAAAACATAATCATATATATTATTCTAAAATGGACCACAATTCTGCACAAGTGACTACTTTATACTGTCGCTACTTCATTCACTATTAATTTTGATGAGAATACTTTTCTACTTTACTTGAGGAACATTTTGAATGCAGGAATTGTACTGTAACAGAGTATTCCTACACTCTGGTAACTTCTCCTTTTACTCAATTACAAGATCTGAGTAACTTCTAACTTTGACTCAAGTACAAGATCTGAGTACTTCTACTTTTACTCAAGTACAAGATCTGAGTACTTCTCCCACCTCTGAGTAAATGTGAATGATCAGATGTTAACATCTCCTTGTATATGCTACTGTAGCTTTAGCACTCACTATTTGCTACAGGTGACTTCCTGTTTTACATCTTTGATTGATTTTGCCAGATGTTGCCTAGCAACCATATACGATTCACTCAGTATAACGAATGCTTTTTTCATATCTTCATTGTTTGGACTCAAATGTTACCATGTAAACAAGTTCTGAAAACTTAATCACAGGACTCTAGACGGCTAACTTTAAAACAGAATGTCATTGTTTCACTCAATATGAATAATTATTTAACCAGGATTTTCACTTTAAAAAGTTAAAGTAACTTACCTCTGCTGATGAAGTCATTCTAGCTTGCTTGTGTTATCGTCTACCTGAAGTTCAGCCATCTGCAATAACAGAGATTACCTTATTACTTATTAGCCAACTACAGGAATTAAAATAAAACATCTTGTGTTTTTCTAAATGTTAACCTTGAGACCATTAATTTGACAAACAATCACTACGACAAAGCTCAGAGATGGAGTCCATCCAGTTAGACACTTGCACATCTGACACATAATATAGACATATCTTGTTGTGCTTTAGTTTGTGCATTTTTTTAAAATAAATGCAGCTTTAAAAAGAGGTAAAGCTATATATTACAAATATAAATCAGGGTTGCCAACTTTGGGGTTCCTGGCTGGAGTGAGATTTTGATATCATGAGGTTAATTATACATATGCTCACTAATGACTGCTATCGTATCAGTAGCGGGACCTTAGCATATATATAGGATACAGTTGCAAGAAAAAGTATGTGAACCCTTTGGAATTACCTGGATTTCTGCATAAGTTGGTCATAAATGTGTTCTGATCTTCATCTAAGTCACAACAATAGACAAACACAGTCTGCTTAAACTAATACCACACAAACAATCATATGTTTCATGTTTTATTGAACACACCATGTAAACATTCCAGTGTAGGGTGGAAAAAGTATGTGAACTCCTAGGCTAAAGACTTCTTCAAGAGCTAATTGGAGTCAGGAGTCAGCCAACCTGGAGTCCAATCAATGAGACGAGATTGGAGGTGTTGGTTAAAGCTGCCCTGCCCTATAAAAAAATACACACCAGTTTTGAATTTGCTATTCTTAAGAAGCATTGCCAGATGTGAACCATGCCTCGCACAAAAGAGCTCTCAGAAGACCTACGATAAGAATTGTTGACTTACATAAAGCTGGAAAGGGTTACAAAACTATCTCTAAAAGCCTTGATGTTCATCAGTCCAGACACATTGTCTATACATGGAGAGAGTTCAGCACTGTTGCTACTACTCCCCTAGGAGTGGCCGTCCTGTAAAGATGACTGCAAGAGCACAGCGCAGAATGCTCAATGAGGTGAAGAAGAATCCTAGAGTGTCAGCTAGAGACTTAAAGAAATCTCTGGCACATGCTAACATCTCTGTTGACGAATCTACGATACGTAAAACACTGAACAAGAAATGGAGTTCATGGGAGGAACACCACGGAGGAAGCCACTGCTGTCCAGAAAAACATTGCCTGCACGTTTGAAGTTTGCAAAAGAGCCTCCTGGATGTTCCACAGCACTACTGGCAACATATTATGTGGACAGATTAAACCAAAGTTGAGTTGTTTGAAAGGAACACACAACGCTATGTGTGGAGAATCCAAAGGGTTTACATACTTTTTCTTGCAACTGTATATATACAATATATACAAATACACGATATTGGACACAGACTATAAAGGGCACAACGTTTCATTCACTAATGAAAGTCAAACACATGTTTGTTTCCACTGTTTTATTGTGTGCATAGGCCTGTCGCGATAAGCAAATAATTGACTTATCGTACGATAAATAAAAATTAACTGGATAATTTCTGACCTTGATAAATTGCCATTTACATGAGGATGTGACTAGCAGTTTGAAAGGATGTACTTGAATTATTATTATATATTATCATGATGTCAGTGCTCTAAAATGGTCATACAACGGTGCCGACAATATTATCGTTTATCGCAATAATTTCCGAGAAAATGTATCAACAAAATTAGTTATCGTGAGAGGCCTATACATGAAACACACACAAACCTATAGACTTACTCCAAACTGCCAAATATATTAATTAACACACTCTCATAAACTCTTTGACTCTATTTTGGCCTAGTACAGGGGTCTGCAACCTTTTTGACCAAAAGAGCCATTTTGCCCCCTTTTCCAACACTTTTTTTTGTCTGGAGCCGCAAAACATATTTGATAGCTTGATAAATAAGTAAATTCTTAACATGTGACACGTTGTTAATACAGTATACCTCTGTCAAGGACTATAATGAAGGTTGCTAAGGCAGATCAAGAAAGGGAAAGGAAAAGAGGTTAAAAGACGGAGCAGATAAATTACCAGAAGAAGAAATAATAACAGGACACGGAATGGGCTCTGTAGTTTGTTTAGTATATGGCCATGTACAGGCCCGGTTCCAGAACAAAATGACTTGGGGTGCATCTAAGATTACAGGGGGTGCACCCCTGGGGGACACCCAGTGAAATGGCACTTTCTTGTGACTTGTGATTACAGAGTTGTACAAACTGTTGTCTGTCAGTGAGGTAGGGCTGTACCCGAATATTCGACTATTCGAATATTCGTTCGTTGGCCAACTATTCGGGTTTTAATTTCATTATTCGGATATTCGTTTTTTTTATTTAAAAAAAATTTTATTCAATTTTTTCCTAAATGTATGCTATCAATAAAGGCGAATTGCCATATTCTTATACTATATTTATACTTTGAATTGCACTGTTAAAATGCGGAAATATATACAATATCAGCCTGTGCTCCTGACATCGCGTTCACTCACAGTCACGAACGCAAACGGCACGCTTAACCTCGCTTCACCTCGTTTCACACACCTGAACAGAAAATGCCGAAGACTTCAGCTGTGTGGGACCATTTTAAATTGGATGACGGTAAGAAGAAGGCAGTGTGCCAAATATGCGACAAGAAACTGGCCTACCACGGTGGCACAACAACTCTGAAAAGTCACCGGATGCTGTAAGTAGTAGCCTAGCTTAGCTTAGCTGTTGTCAAGTTACCATGATGAAGCTGCTTTATCCGCCGTTTAAACAGTAACGTTACACATGGTAAAATCGTGAACTTACTTTGCTTGGAAAATAGTTGCAAGCAAGCAACCGAATTGTTTTTTTATATTAGTTTTTCAATTTTATCCGAATAGTGAAAATAATGAGCAATGTGGGAACATCTGGGGCTAAGGCAATTATTGGCATACAGTTCGTTCATTTATTTTTCGTTATTCATTTATTTAAATACTGTTTACTGTATCGGTAACAAGTATTACACTGTTAGGCCTACTGTTACGGCTATGTTATTAAAAGTATTGTTGTTATAACAGAAATATGTGTTTTGTATCTTCAGGTTGTAAAACGATATAGACGGAATTTGGAACCAGATTTGGTCCCAGAGCGCTGCACTGCGGCTGGGTTAAATGCAGAGGACACATTTAGTTTTAATCATAGACTGTGGTTTTAATGTATGCGAGTACTGAGACAATAAATAAATATAAATCGTAATAGTATGCTCTTTCTGCGCTTCTGCTTAACAGCGTGTTGTCAGGTGTCTCGGAGCGTGTTATGACATTTAAAAAAAAAAAAAAAAATGTATGAAAAACAAACAAAAAAATCTCTCCGCACCGAATATTCGCTGCCGATTACTACCGAATATCCGGAGCCCGAAAAATGGTATTCGGGACAGCCCTACAGTGAGGTATGATGAGAACCAGGAGAGTGCAACACCAGTGATCCCAATGCCAGCCAGGCGGTCCTGGAGTAGTGGGTGAGAGATGGTACCGAATGCAGCGCTGAGGTCAAGGAGGGTGAGGATGGTGAGAAGTCCGGAGTCAGCTGCACGGAGGAGGTCGTTGGTGATTTTAACCAGGGCTGTTTCAGTACTGTGTTTTTGGCAGAAAACCAGATTGGAAGGGTTCATGGAGGTTGTTTGTGTCAAGATGGGACTGAAGCTGTGCAGCAACCACCCTCTCAAGGGTCTTGGAAATTAAGGGTAGGTTGGAGATGGGCTTGTAGTGGTTTAGATCGGCTGGGTCAGTACCGTTTTTTTTGAGGATGGGAGTGATTGCAGCTAGTTTGAGGGAGGTGGGTACAATTCCAGAGGAGAGGGAGGAGTTAATTATGTCAGTGATCATGGGTAATATGGCTGGTAGGCAAGCCTTGACCAGGGTGGTGGGAAGAGGATCAAGCTGACAGGTGGTGGTTTTAGCTTTACGGATGAGCCCTGAGATGGTGTATTCCGATGCTGGGGTGAAGATGGAGAGGGAGCTGATGAGTGATGGACCAGTGGTAGCCATCCAGGGTGGATCACTTGAGGAGGTGCATGCTAAGGCCAGCTCTAGGAGAATGGTGTTAATTTTGGAGTGAAAAAATTGCAGAAAGTCAGTACATTGGTCAATGGAGATATCTGGAGGGAGGGTTTGAGGAGGCTGAAGTAGGTGACTGACTGTGGAGAAAATAAATCTGTTGTTACCAGTGCTGATGAGGTTGGATTAATATGAGGACTTGGCATTGGAAAGCGCGTTCTTGTAGAAGTGAAGGTGATCCGAATACATTTGCGTGTGAATTGAGAGTCCGGTGCTCTTGCACAGCCGGTCCAGTCGGCGGCCAGTTGTTTTGAGCTGACGTAGCTCAGAGGTGAACCAGGGGGCGGAGCGGGTGAATGAAACTTTGCGAGTTTTCAGGGGAGCCAGGGCAGTGAGGGAAGAGGAGAGACAGTTATTATAGTGATTCACCAGGTCAGCAGGGTGGGTGGATGCTGGAGGATTGGGGTAGGAATGAATCAGAGTGGTGAGATCTGTGGGGTTAATGTGTTTAATGTTTCTGAAGGTGATGGACCGTTGTTCTTTGGCTTTGGAAAGGGGGGCATGGATATAAAAAATTACAGCTTTATGGTCAGAAATGGGGAATTCAAGCAGGCCTCGTTTCTAAAAAAGAATCCCAGTTTGAATTTCAGTTTCCTTAAAAGATAGTCAATCTTAGTAGTCATATATAGTCAATAGTCAAGTTTCTGTAGGTGTGAACAGCTTCAATGTGGTTATGCTGTGCAGACATGATGCAGGGAAGAACAGTTGGTAACTTTTTCTTCTTGGAAAACAACATGACTTTTGTCTCGTCTGAATTTAACACCAACCTGAGGTGGAACAGGTGTGACTGAAACGTGTCAAAAGCAGACTGCAGACGTTCAAATGCAAGGGCAGCAGTGCTAGCACAACAGTATAGATCAGTATCATCTGCATAAAGATGTACAGAGGCATCAATATTTTTGATGTATATCATTTATATAAATTGTAAAAAGGGTGGGTCCCAAGACCAAACCTTGAGGAACACCTCTGGGCACATTAAGAAAGCTTGAGGAGAGACCGCTGAATTGTACAAATTGCTTGCCATTTGAAAGATAGTTTGAAAACCAAAAAACAGCTTGGTCAGACAGGCCTATATGGGGTAACTTCTGGCATAGAATGCCATGGTCCACTACACAGTATCAAATGCCTTGGATAAGTCTATAAAAAGGGCAGCACAGTAGCTCTTTGCGTCCAAGCCTTCAACAATGTCATTCCCTACTTTCAAAGCAGCCGTTAGTGTACTGTGCTGCTTCCTAAAGCCCGACTGGTGAGGAGATATAATGTTGTTCAAGCTTAAATATTCTTTGATTTGATCATTCACCAGCCTTCGAAATTGGTCTGTAATTATTCATCACCATGGGATCACCACCTTTCAATAAGGGGAGAACATTTGCAGTTCTCCAAACATCTGGAATGACATTGTTTGTTATAGAAAGATTAAAAACATGACACACTGGTTGGGCTATAATATCTGCAGCTAGACGTAAGAAACAAGGGGGGAGATCGCCTGCTGATTTATTGGGCTCTAGGACCTTTAGAGCCTTACAAACCTCCCCAACAGAGAAGGGGTCGAAGGAGAAAGTGTGGCTACTGGAAAAGGTTATGTAATGTTAGAAATTAAAATCAATGTTTTATGGCATAATTTAGTTTAAACATACCGTCAGCTTAAATGCTGTTTTATTCTGAAAAAACAGAAGTTCTCGCACAATCTTAATGCCAAGCTTTTATTTTGAAAATCCTTCATCTCCTGTTAGCATTTAGCATGTGCCTAATATCACCATTCTAGAGATGTGAATGTACACAGAGTATTGCACACCAAAGCCAACTGACTTTAACACTACATCTATATACATCGAGATATTACTATTGCTGAATATTAAAGGAAGGGACAGTTATTTTAAGTTTTGTTTACAGACATGAGTTGGTATGACAACATCCTCAACTACCGTAAATGATAACTGTCGTAAAGTATTTCCAGTATTATTAAACAAATGATTGCAGTCGTTAAAATGGATTAAATAAAAAGTCATGAATGAGAGTATGAGGAGAAAAGGCATGTGGAGGTTTACAATGAAGATAGAATGTCTGAATCCTCTGTTATGCGCGATATCGGACACAGAAGACCGAGGGGGGAGGTCCCCTACCACAGCCCCCAGAGAGGAGGAGCGATGGGGGATGCAAGCGGGAAAGACGAATGTGTGTGGAGTCTCTTCTCCACGGCCGCGACTGCGAGAGGGAACTGCAGCTTCTCTCTCCCACAGAACCATCTTCTGCCTGTAACATTACGGCGCCATTTTAATTAAAGTACCCATTTGAACCTTATGCCAGAGACTCCATTGGTCTCATTTATCCTAAGCTTCTCTCCTGGACGCGAGAATAACGAATACTCTAATAGTAACATCTAATGTAAACATGAATGGACCAAGGATAGACCCCTGTGGAACCTCTTTCTGATTGTAAAATTGCCTGAATGAGTACAGTCAGCAACAGTAATAGTTTATGGTTCAAAGCGACGCTCTATCTAGCTTATATGAGACTAAAGGCTCTCTGCACACTTTTAGAAATCAGTAGGCTTTAGCTTGTTTATATTTATAACATTATTACATTTAAAGTGGACCTATCATGCTATATTTGAATAATATATTGTAGGGCCATACCTATATAAAACATTTCTGTGAAGTTTTTTTCTTCAAAATACCAAACAGATCATGCATTTTAGCCATGCCTCATTTTCGCTCTATTTGCTCTTTTCCAGCCCTGTTTTTGCAACGGCTGATTCTGTGAGAAGTCGTCTTCGCTGCTTTTCTAGCAGACTACAGCGCCACTTACAGGTCTGGCATATGTACTACAGCGTCTCCAGCGCTTTTGAGCGGCAATGGCCGTGGCCAAACCCCCATTCCCCTGATAGGTGGAGAGTTGCCCATATAGGCGGAGCTCCCTGTTTCTGACGTCAGAACAATTTCAAGTCTGTATCAGCTCCGTTGCAGCCCCGTTTTTAGAGATTTGGGTATGGAGGAAAAGAGAGAGGGTTGTGTTTTCTGACACTTGGTGAGTTCCCTGATACACCGGGGACACATATTCATGTATAAAAGACGTACAAAAGTGCATTTTGCGAGATAGGTCCCCTTTAAGTGACTGTGGTGTCTTGTTCTTTAGGAAGCTTTGTGTGTGTGTGTTATTGCTGTTGAAAAAATACAAGTTGACAACTTCATTGCATACATTTGAATATTATTGAGAACATTTGAACAACTTTTAAAATACACACAACATCCTTTAACAGCGAGTTGTGTCAAACAGTCCAGCTCACTCTTTCTGAACAGTCTCAGTGCACTAGTGAAGGTGTTCTCCCATGTGGTCTGGTTCTCTGAAACTCTTCTCACAGGGAGCACAGACGTCAGGTTTTTCTCCAGTGTGGGTAGGCTGGTGGAGCTTCACACTGTATGAGTCACTGAACTCTTTCTTCCACTGGTCAAAGGAGTGGATTCGCTGGTGGCGCTTCAGTGAGCGTGAGTCCTTGAAACTTTTCTCACACTTGTAACAGGTGAAAGGTTTTTCTCCAGTGTGGGTTCGCTGGTGGCGCTTCAAACAGCCTGACCGGCTAAAGCTCTTCCCACACGGGTCACAGGTGAAAGGATTTTCTCCATTGTGGGTTCGCTGGTGGACCTTCAATGAGTCTGACCTGCTAAAACTATTCTCACACTGGTCACAGGAGTAGGGTTTCTCTCCGGTGTGGATTCTCTGGTGGACCCTTAAATGGCCTGACTGACTAAAGCTCTTCTCACACTGGTCACAGGTGAAAGGCTTTTCTCCAGTGTGGGTTCGCTGATGGATCCTCAAATCACCTGACTGGCTAAAGCTCTTCTCACTCTGGTCACAGACGTCAGGTTTTTCTCCAGTGTGGGAAGGCTGGTGGAGCTTCACACTGTATGAGTCACTGAACTCTTTATCCCACTGGTCAAAGGAGTGGATTCGCTGGTGGCGCTTCAATGAGCGTGAGTCCGTGAAACCCTTCTCACACTGGTCACAGGTGAAAGGTTTTTCTCCAGTGTGGGTTCGCTGGTGGACCTTCAAATCGCCTGACCGGCTAAAGCTCTTCTCACACTGGTCACAGGTGAAAGGCTTTTCTCCAGTGTGGGTTTGCTGGTGGGCCTTAAAATGGCCTGACTGCCTAAAGCTCTTCTCACACTGGTTACAGGAGTAGGGTTTCTCTTCAATGTGGGTACGTTTGTGAATCTTCAAAATGCCTGACTTGTTAAAGCTCTTCTCACACTGGTCACAGGTGAAGGGTTTTTCTCCAGTGTGGGTTCGCTGGTGGACCTTCAAAGTCCCTGAACTCCAGAAACTCTTCTCACACTGGTCACAGGTGAAAGGCTTTTCTCCAGTGTGGGTTCGCTGGTGGATCCTCAAATAGCCTGACCGGCTAAAGGTCTTCTCACACTGGTCACAGGTGAAAGGTTTTTCTCCAGTGTGGGTTCGATGGTGGACCTTCAAATCGCCTAAAACTCCAGAAACTCTTCTCACACTGGTCACAGGTGAAAGGCTTTTCTCCAGTGTGGGTTCGCTGGTGGACCTTCAAATCGCCTGACCGGCTAAAGCTCTTCTCACACTGGTCACAGGTGAAAGGCTTTTCTCCAGTGTGGGTTCGCTGGTGGACCTTCAAATAGCCTGACTGGCTAAAGCTCTTCTCACACTGGTCACAGGTGAAAGGCTTTTCTGTAGTGTGGGTTCGCAGGTGAGACTTCAAATCGGCTGACCGGCTAAAGCTCTTCTCACACTGGTCACAGGTGAAAGGTTTTTCTCCGGTGTGGGTTCGCTGGTGGGCCTTCAAAGTCCCTGAACTCCAGAAACTCTTCTCACACTGGTCACAGGTGAAAGGTTTTTCTCCAGTGTGGGTTTGCTGGTGGACCTTAAAATTGCTTGAGATACTAAAGCTCTTCTCACACTGGTCACAGGTGAAAGGTTTTTCTCCAGTGTGGGTTCTCTGGTGAATCTTCAAAGAGCCTGAATGGCTAAAGCTCTTCTTACACTGGTCACAGGTGAAAGGTTTTTCTCCAGTGTGGGTTCCCTGATGGGCCTTCAAATTCCCTGAACTCCAGAAACTCTTCTCACACTGGTCACAGGTGAAAGGTTTTTCTCCAGTGTGGGTTCTCTGGTGAACCTTCAAATAGCCTGACTGGCTAAAGCTCTTCTCACACTGGTCACAGGTGAAAGGTTTTTCTCCAGTGTGGGTACGTTTGTGGATCTTCAAATTCCCTGAACCCCAGAAACTCTTCTCACACTGGTCACAGGTGTGTGGTTTTCCTATCATGGCTGTAGACTGATGTTGATCCAGCTGTTCTCTGATGATACTCTTCTCCCCATCATCATAAAGCCTATCTGGGTTTTTGCAGGTCTCTTCCTATAAAACAAAACAACAAATCAACAGAGAGTAATATTAGAGCAGGGGTTCCCAAACTTTGCTATGCCAAGGACCCCCATATAGCATTATCCTCTGGCGGGGACCCCCGTTGCCATTTTTTTTGAATTACTTTATGATGGAAGATAATGACAAATTAATCATACAGCTTAATACATTTTCTTAATATATATTTGTATAAATAATTAGTTATTCTTCTAAACATTTTTTGTATTTATCTTTTGTTTGTCATTCATTACATTCATTGTGTCTTCTGTTATACACATTCTTAACACAATATTAAATAGTAATATCAACAGTAAACATATTTTTAAAGCATTTTTAAAGTGATTTCTTTCTTTATAATATTATAAAATGTTGAACAGTAATATGAACAATTAACATATTTGTTAGCATTTTTTAAAGCTATTTATACCTTTTTAATATTATATATAATATTCAACAGTAATATTAACAATAAACATATTTATATTCATATATATATAAACAACAGTCCTTGTCATTGCACTGTGTGTCTCTTTGTGTATACCTGTTCCCTCACTAGTGGGAGGGGTGGGCTTGGTGGCTCCTACACAGTTTATCAATCCTAGGTTTTAGGTTTGTCATTGTCCACTTGCAAACGTCCTCTGCGCTTTGTTTTCAATACCGGCTTCAATGTAGAAAAGCCAGACTCGCTGAGGTATGTGGTGGCAAATGGAAGAAAGGATTTGAGAGCCCTCTCAGCCAGAGCGGGATAGCCTTTTTTGACATACAGCCAGTACTGAGGGAGTGAAACAGTATGCAAGTTTCCGGAGCCATGAGGCATCTGAAAAACGGCCAGCCAGTTGATGATTTTCAGAAGAGAGGAATTCACTGATCTCCCTTCGCAGTTCAAAAACACAATTCAAAAACACAATTCAGCACCGCCCCATGGGAAAGCCAGCGCACGTTGGAGTGGAGCAGTAACCCCTCAAACTTTGCGCCTATCTCGTTACACAAAATACGCTTAGCAACAAGTTCCTCGCGATGGAGCATGCAGTGCGTTGCCACTACATGTGGGGCCTTCCACCTGATCAAAGCTGTCACTCCGCTTTTTTTGCCGGTCATAGCCCCACTGCCCCATCTGAACACACACCCACACAACGAGACCAGTCAAGTCCATTTCAGATGATGTACTCATCTAAAACTTGGAAAATGTCTCTTCCAGTGCTTTGCAAAATAATATTTCCTCAACAAAGTAGAAATAAATCTGATGTATGCAAGCAATTCTGCGAAACTTTGCGTGACCCCCCCTGACGGTCGGGGCCCACACTTTGAAAAACACTGTATTGGAGGACACATGAATGTCTTGATGCAAGTTAAAAATGAACGTGACAGAAGTAAAGTAAGGTTTTTAATGAAACCCGAGAATGCATTCTGACTCGTTGTAGCCTAAAATACCGCTGAATAAAGGAAGAAGTATAAATACCCATTAACTTGATACAACTCTAAACAACAAGGACGCACTGATTGGTTGATTGATTCAGAATGATTTGTTGTTATTTTTAAATGAATACAAAGGGGTTGGCTCTCACAGACAAAATGTTTTTAAATATTATTCAAAACATGCAAAATCTAAATGTGTTTTTTTCAACCAATATCATGATGGAATATTGCATACTTTATCTGTTATAAGGTTAGAGTTATCTATAGCTAAATACAAAAAACTAAAAGGGTTGAAGCACACAAACCAATTTCATTGTTTTATAAATTAGTTTTAGTATCCAGGTATCACTAGCTATTAAAATATCTACACCGTGAATTTGAAAATAATGAACATTAAATGATCACATTATATCAGTAAATTCAGAGGTAGGAAGTACATTTACTCAGGTACTGTACTTAAGTACAATTTGGAGGTGCTTGTACTTGACTTGAATATTTCCATTTGATGCTACAGTGTACTTCTACTCCACTACAGTTCAGAGGTAAATGGTGTACTTTTACTCCACTACATGTATTTAATACCTTTAGTTACTCTACAGATCTGGATGAATGATGTGAAATATAATCAAGTGTTGAATCAGACTTTAGTTCCACCTGGAGTAAATCCACAAGCTACCCTGCAGTATACAAAGCCATTCAAACTAGCTGCACCTTTACCAGCTTTGAGAACACTTTAATGATCAATCATTATAAAACATATCATATATATTATTCTGAAATGGACCAATTTGCACAATGACTACTTTTACTGTAGCTACTTTCACTATATTTTGATGAGAATACTTTTATACTTTTACTTGAGGAACATTTTGAATGCAGGACTTTTACTGTAACAGAGTATTCCTACACTCTGGTACTTCTACTTTCACTCAAGTACAAGATCTGAGTACTTCTACTTTTACTCAAGTACAAGATCTGAGTACTTCTACTTTTACTCAAGTACAAGACCCGAGTACTTCTACTTTTACTCAAGTACAAGATCTGAGTACTTCTACTTTTACTCAAGTACAAGACCTGAGTACTTCTCCCACCTCTGAGTAAATGTGAATGATCAGATGTTAACATCTCCTTGTATATGCTACTGTAGCTTTAGCACTCACTATTAGCTACAGGTGACTTCCTGTTTACATCTTTGATTGATTTTGCCAGATGTTTCCTAGCAACCAATACGATTCACTCAGTATAACGAATGCTTTTTTAATTCTTCATTGTTTAGACTCAAATGTAGCCATGTAAACAATTCTGAAAACTTAAATCAACAGGACTCTAGACTGCTAAACTTTAAAACAGAATGTCATTGTTTTCACTCAAATATGAATAATTATTTAACCAGGATTTTTACTTTTAAAAGTTAAAGTAACTTACCTCTGCTGATGAAGTCATTCTGCTGCTTGTGTTATCGTCTACCTGAAGTTCAGCCATCTGCAATAACAGAGATTACCATATTACTTATTAGCCAACTACAGGAATTAAAATAAACATTTTGTGTTTTTCTAAATGTTAACTTTGAGACCATTCATTTGACAAAATAATCACTACCACAAAGCTCAAAGAGAGATGGAGTCCATCCAGTTAGACACTTGCACATCTGACACATAATAGAGACATATCTTGTTGTGCTTTAGTTTGTGCATTTAAAAATAAATAAATGCAGCTTTAAAATGAGGTAAAGCTATATATTACAAATATAAATCAGGGTTGCCAACTTTGGGTACCTGGCTGGAGTGAGATTTTGATATCATGGATTTCAATTACACATATGCGCTCTAAATGACTGCTATCGTTTCAGTAGCGGGACCTTAGCATATATATAGGATATATATACAATATATAAAAATACACGATATTGGACATAGACTATAAAGGGCACAACGTTTCATTCACTAATGAAAGTCAAACACATGTTTGTTTCCACTGTTTTATTGTGTACATAGGCCTGTCGCGATAAGCAAATAATTTAGGGTTTCCAGGGGCATGAGGTTCTGTAGGGTGTGATCATCTGGGTTTAGTCCGTGGGGGAGTGCTTAAGTCCGGGGGCCCGGGGTCTCACGGTGTGCAAGGTTATGGAAGTATGCATGTTAGGGAGACATGCTGGAGCTGCTTAGTCCGACCTTTGGGGCTCTGTGAAGGGCCACAGAGAGGTGGTTTCTGCGGTCTGTCTCCTGGAAGTGTGAAAAAACCTGTTTGCCTTTTGCCTGCGAGTGTGAGACCCTGCTAACAGCAGTGAACCTGCTGCCAGCATTACTAACATATTAATCAGGCATTTTAACACTATAGCCCACAATTCCTGGAGGCTCCAGGCCGAATTTGGGAGCTCATAGGCGGTCTGCCATGCGCCCCCACCAGTGGAAAGCAGAAAAAAGTAAAGAAAACGGTCAGTTATATCTTAAAATAATCTAAAATGAAGTTTAAAAACATTCTCGAACAAAAAGGAGTGCCAACGGAGGAGGAGCTCCAAAGAGCTCAAGTCTTCGGCGCTTCGGGCGGAAGCCCCGGACACTTTTCCACTCCCCCGTTGCATTTTACAATAGAGAGGGGAATCGAGACCTCCCCTCCTCCGTCAAAAAAATGCATTCATGTTTTTCATGCTACCTTCTGCACGAAATCGGAAACCCGGTTTTTGAGAGGACTCAGAAAAAAAACGGCTGTTTCACATCATGGAGGAATGTGTCCGCTACATGAGTGCTTTGGCTCGGATACAATTGTTGCATGGAGACCCCCCAGTATGGTTCTTACCAAACTTTAAGTTTTTGAACTGATCTCTGGAGGAATGCAAGGGGAGTTGTCCATTTTCACCCCTTTTCTATGGTTCTTCCAAAAGTTAACTTACACTTTTTCTGACTCTGGAGGAATGTAAGGAGAGTATTCAGGGGACTCTATCCGCCTTATGAGACACTATTTTCGGATACATTTGATCAATTTTCACCCCTTTCTATGGTTCTCCCAAAAGTGAAGTCAGACTGACAGAGAGCCATAGCTCGATTGAGCCTTCTATTCCCATAGCACTCAGTAGTAATGATTTTATGTGCTTTTTTAACGATAAAATTGTTACTCTTAGAAACAAAATTAATGACCTCTTGCCTTTGACCAGTATAGTGTTATCAACAGCTCCCGGAAACGTAAGTTCTAATATTACACTGTAAACTAGAATGCTTTTCAGCCATTAACCTTGAACAATTAAATTCAATGATTCTCTCTTCTAAACCATCAACGTGCATGTTAGACCCAATTCCAACTAAGCTGTTGAAGGACGTTTTTCCATTAATTAGCACTTATTTATTAAATATTATGAATATGTCTTTATTATCAGGCTATGTTCCACAATCATTCAAAGTAGCAGTGATAAAACCGCTTCTTAAAAAGCACAACCTCGATCCAGAGGTTTTAGCCAACTATAGAACTATTTCTAATCTTCCGTTGCTCTCAACAAATGTTGAGAAAGCGGTCGCAAAACAGTTGTGTGATTACTTAAAAACCAATGATTTATTTGAAGATTTTCAGTCTGGCTTTAGAACACATCATAGCACAGAGACAGCTCTGGTTAAAGTCACAAATGACATTATAATAGCCTCAGACAAGGGACTTGTCTCTATTCTTGTTTTGCTCGATCTCAGTGCTGCATTTGATACTATCGACCATGATATCCTATTGCAAAGATTAGAGCACTTAGTTGGCATAAAGGGAACTGCTTTAGGCTGGTTTAGGTCCTATCTATCTGAACGCTCTGTTTGTACGTGTCAACGATGAATCTTCCACGCAAACCAAAGTTAGCCATGGAGTGCCACAGGGCTCAGTGCTCGGACCTATTTTGTTCACATTATACATTCTTCCAAGGAATCATTCTGTAAACTTTCATTGTTATGCAGATGATACTCAACTATATTTATCAATCAAGCCTGATGAAATTAATCATCTAAATAAAATTCAAGACTGCCTCAAGGACTTAAAACGTGGATGACCTTAAACTTTCTGATGTTAAACACGACCAAGTTATTGTACTCCGCCCGAAGAATCTACGAAACAAATTATCTAAAGATATACTAACTATGGATGGCATTAATTTGGCCTCCAGTGAGACTGTAAGGAATCTTGGTGTTATATTTGATCAGGATGTATCCTTTAACGCCCACATAAAATCTATTTCAAGGACCGCCTACTTCCATCTCCGTAACATTGCAAAAATCAGGCATATCTTGCCTCAAAACGATGCAGAGAAACTAGTCCATGCATTTGTTACTTCAAGGCTGGATTATTGTAACTCCTTATTATCAGGGAGTACCAAGAAGTCAGTCAAGTCGCTTCAGCTGATTCAAAATGCTGCAGCTTGTGTACTAACCAGAGTTAGGAAAAGGGACCACATTACTCCTGTTCTGGCTGCCTTATACTGGTTCCCTATAGAACACAGGATAGAATTTAAAATTATTGTTCTCGCCTACAAAGCCCTTAATGGGCAGGCGCCATCTTACCTTAACCAGTTAAGCCCGAAGGTCCCCCCAGTGGACCCCTCCCACAGTTTTTTTTTTCTCACATGTCTCAGGGCTTCTTAACATTTATGAAACTATTAATGTTTCATACCCTTTTAAAGGTAAGAAACTCCGCTAACTGACAATAAGAACAATTGTTAGCTAAAAAAAAACACAAGAGTAATACCAAGCCTTTGAATTAGCATTGAGCGAAAAAATGCTAACTAATGCTAACGCTTTTTTACACACAACACACGGTAGAAATGCCCTTATTACTATCTTAACTGCACAAACAAGATATACGATTTAAAGCTGAGACTCCACAGATTCCACACATGTAATGTCATCACTGTAAGACCTCGAATTCCTGGAGCTATCAGCCAGAAAAGAGAAAGTAAACAACATCCGGTTCCAAAATATTACAATAATTACGTCTTACCTTTTTTGATTTGTGATCAAAAGTTGTGTTCAACGGAATAAAAACGCATCTCAAGGTTAATCCAATGTCTTTGTGTCACGTATAATTTGTTTACTGATAATCCATCATCATATTTATGGCAATATACTCGGTATAAAGTAGGGATGCTCCGATCGAGATCGGCCGATACTCACTCTCTACCGATCGATCGGTGCTCTCTAAACATGCCGATCGTGAAAGCCGATCGCATGACGTAAAATACATGACACTTTTCTCTGTGTGTGCGGCAAAACAAGCTCGCCAAAATGGCTTCTCCGGTCTGGCATTATTTTAAGGTGTCCGAAAAAGACAGTAAAATAGCGGTATGCAACGTGTGTGTGAAGCAGAAATCCTGCAGCTCCGCCCGCCGGACCGGTAAACGCAGCAAAACACACACACAGGGAGAACCAGACCGCAGTTCATTTCCTCATATTCCAAACGAGAAATTACGGTAGCAAATCACCCGGTTCATATGCTTCGTTTGCTTCTCTATTACGACCGCTATGGTAATGTTTACGTAGATTTGGGAACTGCCCATCGATTCTATTGGTTCTGATGGTTAAGAAAAAGGTGTAAATCACAAGAATCGACCAATGGGTTCCAGAGATATGGTCCTGCGTAAAGTATAAAGAATGCCAGCCAGCTTAAGTACATTACGCAGCCGACTTAATTTATTGTTTACAACGTAACGAAGCAGGAAATGCAGCAGGACCCGGAGCGCACGGAGCACAGAGCGGATAGCAGATAACGGAATTGCAGTTTTATTGCTTATAGATTATCAGAACATTTCAAAGGGGACACAGCCCCATTGGATATTAATCTATGGATGAACTACATCATCGTTTTAATGCCATTGAAGCCCAGTTTAGACCAGACAACGAGGAAGGTAAGTCATTGTTAGCCTAGCGCATTAGCGCTAGCGCCATTTGTTTTGATGTACGTTTTTGTTGATAACGTCGCGAGTTTGTATCTTTCAGTGTTGAGGTGGGCACCGTTAGATTCTGTGTCTCCTTGCGATCATAAACAATGTGTTGGATGTGCAGCTAGCATAAGTAATAAGGGAGCGAGGAGTGATTTTCGGTGCAGTAATAGGTTAGCATTTTTCGCTCGGGGCTAATTCAGAGGCTCACTGTAAGAGTAGGCCTATGTTTTATTTTATTTTATTATTTTTTTCACAACAGTTGTATTTGGATGGAATGAATACTATTACGTTACCATTGACTGTTAGCAGGCTCAATGTCGAGTCAAGGCAACATAATAAAGGAGACGGTAGCCGAAGTAATCAAAAAAAAGAATTTAATTAATAATTACCACCATGGTTGAACAAAGGAAATATAAAGTAATGACAGACAAGAACACATACTGCACAGACAGGATCAGCACCAGACAAAGGGGAAGGCAGAATACTTATACATGAGGTAATGACGAGACAAGACACACCTGGGTTAATTACAAATGGGTACACCTGGAGGGGAAACGATAAGGACTACAAAACCATAACA